TTCTAAAAATTTAAATCTAAACAATGTCCTTCATGTTATTTCCTGATGATGTTCCTGGTTTTTTTTTTCTTTTCCCTGAACTGTTGTAAACGTGTAGACCTCTGAGTGGTTATGTGATGCGCTTCAGGGTGTCCTGATGCTTGCATGCTCATTTAATGTCATTTTGTTGTTGGTGCCATTGCCCATTACGCTTAATTCTGAATATGATAATCTTTGTCGGTTTCCATCAAACAGAAATTGTTCTATGTTTGTGTAAAAGGGAAAGCATCTACTTGTCAGACATTTTCTTTTGCAAGAAGGAAACGCTAGACTGGAAGCAGTGTCACCTCGCACATGGACCTCCATGCCCGGAGACACAAACGCTCGTGTAAAAATCACACAGGAGCCTTTCATATGTGGAGGGGCCATCAGCTTTCCATTTGATGTTGTGCATTTTACTCAGAGGGCAGCTTATAAGTTCTGTAACTGCTTTTGTGATGCCAGTTCTCGTGTTAAGTGGACACGTAAAATTTTTCGCTTTGTGCTGTGTACACCTGATGTCTGGGGAGAAAGGAAACCATCTGCACTCACAGCTGAGAAGTAACATACACACAGAAAAAAGTGCATTGGCACTCATTTTGTCTCGGTATAAATAAATTTTCTTGAAGGGAAAAATGTTTCTGCCTTGGAAATGAGTTGAAGACAACTTATGACCCTTTTTGTTGTGTTTGGAAGGAGTTGTTTCCGCACTTTAAATGGCACGTTTCGTTCAAGAAAAAGAAAAAAAATGCTTCTGCTGTCCAACATGCAGAGGAGAGTGAAAAGGAAAGTCAGTGAAAAGGGAAAAGTCATCATTTATCTCTGTGTTGCTCATCCATGTCTGCCCCTTACCTTTTTTTCTCAAAGGAGTTCCTGATTGGCTCACTGTAAATTGTGATCTCAGCTTTTCTCACCGTTGTACCTCTCCATGGAAAGGGAGGGGCTGGGTAACTGGGGCTTGCACTGTGTGCCTTTTGGCAGGAAATATCCTGTTTTGCTATGAGTGGCTGCCGGAAGCTTGTTCATGCAAATCAGGAGCATGAGGTGGAGACAGCCCTCAGTGTTTCTGCTGGTGCCTCTGCCTGGCCAGTTCATCTATATGATTTGCCTCAGGTTTGTCAACCACGTTCAAGGTTTGGGCCTGATGTGTCCTTGCATTCCTTACACAAGCAAGTGAGGGATCTATCATCTGTACATGCAAAGTGTCTTGTGGGGAACCATCCTGGCAGTTTTAACAGAGTTTCTCTCCCACAAACAACAAAGTGATGCGGATTTGAACACCTAAGTCTGATTCAGAAGAACAGTTATTTCTTTTCAAGTTTGTTTATTTTCTCCAGTTATTATTTGATTCAATTTTCCCCATGCTATTGGAAGGAAGAGGATTTTCCCAGTATCAGGGCTATGAGTTTGTTTACCCTTTCCTGTTTCCATTGTTTGATTACAAGGGATCTGGAAGAGCTCCAAGTGGAGTTTTGGGAGTCCGTGTATTCAACCTGTGCTGTTTCTGTAGCAGCTCCAACATGTGGAGCTTCCATCATTCCATCATCCTGTTCAGAAGTGTTTGTCTCTTGAAAAGAGGAATTCGACCACTGCAAAAAACTTAAAAGGATTATTTTTTATTCCATAGTTGCACTGCTATACTAAACAGGGATACATATTGTTCTTATTTTGCACAAATCGTGATTCAACCAGGAAGACCAGATGAGTTTTTATCACCAGTCCTTGAGGATGCGCTTGCCACATCTCCCAGGTTAGATAGTGTTCTGCTCTGAGCCCGCTGGAGCTGCTGGTCCTTTAGGAATCTGCTCACTGCTATTCTCTCTGCATGCCTGTAGCCGGGATTCCATCTTCTGAGGATAGACGCCGGTAAGTTGTGTGCTTTTGTTGGTGCAATGAAAGGAATGGGTAAGTATTGATGATCATTTTGTCTGTTACTTTAGAAGAAGCACACATTTTGTTATTGGTAAACAAAATATTGCGGCAAATGTACACTATTTTGCATGTTATCAATTTCAAAATAACATTTTATTTTAATCTGGTAAGTTTTATATTTCATTTTGGTATTGGCTTCATGAATAGTGACAATTTTTATCTGTTCATACCAGGAACAGAGAGTTACCTACCCTGGGAACCGATATCATGGGCATAGATCTTTTAGAATTAGGCCCTACCAAAAATGCAGTGTCTAGGAATCGTCGTAGAATTGCATGGAGTGATTTATTTTACAAATTTAATTGCTTTTAATTTGTTGTAATACAGCAAAGCATTTGTTGCACAGCATATAATATCTATATTTTGTTGGTGATTTAAGTTACCAGAACCCAAAGGAACTGTGGTCTTAGTCTGCCCTGTGTGTTGCATGGGGTTGACAGTAGTGATAGATACATTACTACTTTGCTACACTAAAAATGTTCATTTTTGCAGAGTATACTGGAGCAGCACTTTCCATCCTGTAAAACATGGATAGACTCATGGTGGTAGGTAGCTAAGTCTGCCAGAGAATTGGACACAGGCATGTATAAGTCAAGTCAAAGAAGCGAATTAAAAAAAAATAAATTCCCCGAATGTAATCTTTTTTTAACAATACTTTTTTATATTCTTTCTTTAACTTCTAGAGGGAAAAGAATGAAAATGGATTTGAAAGTACCCTGTACTTTAGGTACTCCTATATCTAAGAGAACAGGTCTGGACCAAAACATCTATAGTTGAGGTCCAGTGTGTGACTTCCATCATGTCTCCGTCTACCACACTAGCTGGTAACAGTGCTGTCCATCCTGTGGCCATTTGAAGACCATAAAACCTTTCTGTACGCCCATTGCACGACCCCAGTAAGCTCCTTATGTCACCAAGATGATCTAAAATGTGCTCAGAGTAATAGGTTTGGAGGGACGTCCCCAGTACTCACGGACAATACTACATCAGTCCATGCCTCTCCACTTTCACCTTGGTTTTGTTGTATGAACAACTGTCAGGTCAGTGATAGACATTAAACCTTAGAAAGGTGGCCTGAAGCATGTACATTTGGGTACACTTTACAAAATCTTCATCACCTCTTTATAACAAGTGAAGGAATGCTTTATTTTGATATAAAATGCAGTGCTTTGTGGTAACATGTTTAGAATAATAGGTGATACTAATTGAAATCAAATTAATTGAATGATTCACAATTTTACTCAGTTGTCCATATTGCATGATAGGCTGTCAGAAGTGTAATTGCTCATTCCATTGACCCAGGGTGTTTCCATTCTCCCAACTAGAAAGGTAAGAAAAGACTTTCATTGTCTCTTTATTAACCATAATGGTGTTACAGGGTTGCTCTTGTTTCAGCACATAGAACATAGCAAGATTTTCAGAACCATACTGTACTTTTTCTACACACAGTCAAATCGTAAAACTTTGTGACCACTAGGAAACAGGAAATAAAATAATTTCACAGATGTGCATTCATTTGAAGAAGAATACACACTGCTAAGTGCATGCACAGGGCAATAGTCGTGTAAAATATTTATTCAAAACCATACAGTATCCTTGAACCAGAGTAAAAATAGAAAAATGGCATATTGTTTTGGCATCAAAGCAGCCTTTCATTGGGCCATGGTCATGTTCTCAGGTGTCTGACCCAACCCCCTTGTGTTCTAGGTCATGCGTTTCCCAGTACTGCAATATGGGCTCACCTACAATTCTGGGTAAAGTACTTAAAATATAATGGGGTAATAATCTGCTAACTGAGATTACAGCCCTTGTTCAGTCTGTTTCCACATGTTCCATATACATAATAATAATAAAAAAAACTTTTATACTATAGAAAACTAAAATCAAGTTGTATAACAAGGGAACTGATACGTGTATTTCTTCCAGTGATCTAAATTGTTTTTTTTTCTGTGAAACATTCTCTCAGGTATTGATTTTAATATTCTGGGGTAAGGCATAGTATCTTTATCATCAAAACTGAAACTGCATTTTGGTGAGTACAAGCCTAATTCCTTTTTCCCCAGCATATGTCTTTGTAGTTTGGAACTTTCAAAGTTTAGTGTGTGCATTGATCTTTGTAAATAAAAGTATTTTTCTGGAAGAGTGTAAGTTTGGTTATTTTAATTAGAATCGTGTAGATTTTTCTATGTCATGGGAACAAGTGGTGTGTATGTATGTTTGTATATAAGTTAAAAATGATTGCTAGTGATTGTAGTAGACAATCAGTGAACAGTGAATCAGGTGATAGCACTTATTTTCATACAGCCCTTTAGATTCCCTCATATCACACAAACATCCTGTATTAACAATGTAACAATTCAATTCATTGCAAAATCAATTTCACATAAAACTTTACAAAAGTATTAAAATGTAATGCTCAAACTGAAAAATAGATTAGTTCTTTCTGCCTTTTACTGTATTATTACTGTGCCGATTATAAAAGCAGGACCTTAAGTTGGTCCATAGCAGGACATACACATGAAAAAAATGGATCACTTAGAGATGCCGTTGTGCGCAACCACACGATTTTGGGGTGAGTGGAGAAATTTCAAACTCCATTCACACAGAATTACAGTACTGACTAAATTATTCTTAAATGTGTCTTCATAAAATGAAGATTGCATTAATATTGCAAATAATTGTGCAAGCCACTATAAGTGCTACGTGCAAATTGCAAAATTTCATAGCTATTCAATGATTGTTTCTGATCTGAAGGGCAAACTCCACTACATATTTTAATGGAGATTAAAAGAAGTTTGTACATAAAATATGTATATTTGAGGTGTATATTTCCATTAGTTACATGTGAAATTAATATGAAACAAAAATAGTCAATGATAAATGCCACTAAACAATAAGCATTTGAACAGAGACCCAGTCTTGATATTATGTCAAAGGTAGGGTGACCACCTAATCCATGTTGGAAGGCGCTAGGACAGGGTTTGTAAACTACCATTTCAGTGAAAAAGACTGGTTTAAGGAAATGATGTATCAAATCATGTTAAATAACATTAGGCTAAAAAACTTTTTATTCATTATATGAACTGTACAATATTATTGATTCATGCAAAAATAAGTAAAACTTATTTTATGAACCTTATTCTGTTGACCAATAATCAATAAACCAATATCCAAAAAATGTCAAAGGTACAAAAGACTTTCTAAAATTTGCCCTCTAAGAACTTCTCATGCAGATCGTGCTGCATTGTCCACCATTTATTTCAGTCTGATATGTAATCAGATTACTAATCTGGTACTGCAGCAATTACCCCATTTGGTTAACAACAGAGCAACAATAAGGATAATGAGGCCAGGTGCTTTTCTAATGGTCCAATTGAAAAGTGTTGAGGTAGCCAAACAAAACACAGCCTCAGAGGTATACAGTGAATTGTGTAGCCCATGTTGAGTATGCAAACTCTGTTGGGAATTACAGCAAAACCAACAGCACCTAGAGTACAACAGTCATAGAGCCGGGAACAAAAGGTAAGGCAAGGAATTTGTGCTAAAGGGGAAAGTGGTCATTCATGAACTATTAATGATCAGTACTGGAAGGCAGTTCTTACAGAGGAGTGAACACTCTAAATGACCGCTTCAAACAGTGTGCATCTCTGGTTGGTAAAGGCAGTGGAATGCCATCATTACTGTATTAGTCTGCTACATTGCAAAATCCGAAATTCTCAGATTAGTTAACAAATGGCTGGTTTTGAGTCAAAGTTCTCAGATTGGCCTTTCTCCTGTACTGTGAAGGATGTATTTTTTAAATGTTACAATAAGCTTCATAGAGTGGCCAGTCACGGGCTGTACTTAAACACAAAACTGTTCATTTAACTTGCATTCTCAGATGTTACGAAATAGGATGATCTTTTTAGCTTTTGTCAGGTGAATATACTTTATAGAGAAATGGTGGCTATACTCATCCTTGTTATCTCTTTCGGTGATTTCCTTTGCAAAGGCGTGATTGATTTACACTGTTCCTTGGATCTGGCATCACCATGCATGCCACATGTGATGCTGTCTCAGGGACACTGAGGCAAGGGTCTTTCAGGCAGGTTTTTGTTCTGCTCCTTCCATTTCTGTGCAAGTGGTTCCAGGAACAGTGAGACAGAGGACAGCAGATAACAGACACCAGCCAGATAGAAGGAGCAATCATATGTCTGGGTGTAGTCATAGAGGAAGCCTGTGAAAAGGAACACAGACTAATAAGCCTCACAGTGAAATGGGCTTAACCCATCCAACCATTCAATGATTTAACGTTACAGCTCCCACATAATACACGACCTGCTTAGCAGAGCGGTTAAGAACCTTTGTTGACAGCAGCAAAGCAAATTCTAGCCAGTAGCACAAACTCTACTGTATGGTGCGAAAAACCAGCCTGGCACTAAGCTAGAAGTCAGACTGTATGATCCTACATTGTTTTTCCAGAATTTCTTGGCATGTTATTACTGATTCCACGAAGCTGTTATTTACAGTGCACACAGTCAAGGGATTTGGGTACAGTTCATACAGGAATATCTAGCAGCTTAAAGTGTCAATATCACTGAGTACAACAGGGCTCTCCTTACATTTCACAAGAGTGTAAAAGGCCCCAAAGGTGATTAGGGTTCTTGGAATATTATCCTACTATGTTAAGGTCTGATTTATAGCATGAAACATTGGAATATGTGTGCTCTATTTGATTATAAATTATAAAAGCACCCTGTTATTAATATAAACTCTTCACATACATGAAGTATTTTTCTTTTTTTTCCGATGGATATTTTACTGGGACCAGTACAATACCTACCACAAGATGTTTCAAAATACTAAATCAGAGCAATGATTCCTATTCATTGCAAACTGTTAATGGACACTTTTAGCTAGTGTCCAACTATGTGAGCAATTACAGTACACAGTTTCTAAATTTACTTAGTAAAATGATAATCTGCAGTGGTATGGCTGTCTGAAAGCTTAGGAATAGCAGACACAGAATATACCTACTGGTATAGCCTCCTTAGCAAGTCTTTGGTCTTTACAACCTTAAAGACCCCATCAGTGTCCAAAATAGACATCGTCAACCTGTCTGTACATGGACAAATGTGTCTGTGGCAAAACTTGAATGTTTCTGTGGTAAACGAACTATGTAGGCTATATGTTTAAATACCATTTCTTTGGTAAAAATTGCATTTTGATCACAATGTCCATCAGAATATTATGGTGTTGACCCCTGTTCAAAAGACAAGGATGTCTTTCTCTGTGGACATGATTATGTAGCAATGTCAGTTTTGGAATAAAGCCTGTGTGTAACACTGATCCTACTTTCTTTTATTAGTTTTTCAGAAACAGCGTGTTAATAGTGCTTATAACCCAGTACATTTTAGGCTATATGACATACTGTACAGCCAGTCACATTTACTAGCTAGCTGGCTATTATGCTCATTACTAGGCATGTAACGATAAATCGCGAATCGGTTAAAAATCGATGTAAATGTATGACGATTTAAACTAGCTCATGTGGAAAATGAATCGCTACTTTAGGAGTACTTCACGGTACTGTACTTAACAGAAAAACTGGTGTAATATTACATTTGATTTCACGACAGATGTCACTGCGTATTCACATCGAGGTCGTACATCAGTTTTTGGTTTTGACCGAACGCGAGATGAGTGAATTTGAAATTGAGGATGCACTGCCATGTGGCACGGTGGTGCAGTGGTTAGCGCAGTGGTTACCATTCATACTAAAAATCACATGTGACATAAGGTACTCAAGGGAAAAGCCTATAGGAAAAATACAACACTTTTATAAGAACTTCACATTTTACCATATGTGATATACTGTATTTTACACACTGTAAAAAAATGTAAAATTTCTGGCAGCAGGGGCACCAGAAAATTTCTGTGTTAGAAACAATTACTTTCAGATGAAAAAACATTCATGAAATGTAAAAAAAAACAGGAATTATCATTTTTGCACTAAATTTTAATATGGCCAATGCCAGGTAAGACAAAGGGTCCTGTGTAGCATCTGATGTGAAGTGCCTTCAGGAATGATACCAGTGTCTGTTAGCATGAGCCTGATACAGTTTCTTGGCCAGCTGAGAGTTAAGGGCCTTGCTCAAGGGCTCATAGACATGTGACTATTCTGCTGAGGCTGGACACAAACCCGTGACCTGTAAACCATGCAGTTTTTTTTTTTCATATGGGATCATCCATCCCTACAGTTTAGTTTCACGCAAAGCAGGTTTGTACCATTTCAACTTCGTTATTTTAGGAGGGGCCACCACCATACCTCCACGATGTATACATGCGCACAAAGTAAAGCTTTTGGCACATCTATTTCTTCACTGAGCAGAGTCCCCAGTGTCCCCAAATACACCAAACCCTCTCTCACCTGCTAGAGGAGGACCAGTCAGACATCCTAGGCCCACAAAAAACATGGAAAAGCCCATTGAGTTATTCACCTTGTCCACCCCAACAAGATCTACCTGAGGAGACACAAGTAGGAGACACACCAAAACACATTAGATACTACAATGTTACCTTAAGATTCATAACAGACCAGGATGCACACAAATGACAAATCCATAATGTGTGGTGAAAACATTACATTATTTTTTCAGAAACAGATGAGACAACAGTGATATTTTATTAATCCTTGTGGGAAAATTCTCTTTGCTCCATCTTGCTCTCCATACAGGTGAGAGCAAACTTGGGGGCATCACAGTACAGAGGCAGCCACCTAATGGCACCCAGGGGTTAAGGGCCTTGCTCAAGGGCTAACAGACAAGTGACTATTCTGCTGAGGCTGGGCTTAATCCAGTAACCTTCCGATCACAGGCATACAGGCTTAGCCAGCTCAGCCACACACTACCCCTATTCAATGTCAGGGCAGTGACATACAGTACCAATCAAAAGTTTTTGTACACCAGAGGTTTTTAACACTTTTCCAATTGTTTCATAAACTGCTAATTTTTTAATTCTTGGTAAGCATTGGAAGGTTGGGTGAACAAATAAGTAAATATAAGTAAAAATACGTTTTGTTTATAACATGGAAAGAGTATGTAACAGTGCATGTCAGACATCCTATTAACTAGTGGTGTGGTGATGGCAGAGTCAAACCCTAGGCTGTCCTTTAACTTTAAATGCACTGGTTAACTGCTTCATCCCATGAAACAGAGCAGTATGTAATGTCCCTTTAGAAAGAATGCCTGGAATTTTCTCTGCTGTTATAACAGCTAGCAAAGGTGACTTTGATAATCAAAGATATGACATTTTCTTGCTAATAAAGTTACTCAAATTGTGAACATACTGTAAATTTGTTGGCAAAGAATATTGCGTGCATTTTTAGTAAATATTAAGTGAGTAACATGCAAATGTCAATCTCAATGTGTGCAAAAACTTTGACTGGTAATGTATAATGCAAAGGACTATAGGGTTACCTGCTAATAACCAGAGAGCTACCAATGTTTACCTTTGTGACTTAGCTGTCAAGCTTTATTAGAACTACTGATTAACCTTCATCAGATTTGGCACTGGGGAGCATTGTGGTTTACAGTTACCACACTTCTGGGGTTGTGAATGTTGCGCATTTCTTCTGGTTCCTCCTGGAGTACCAGAGGCATGACAGAGAATACTCTGGTGCTACAACCGGAAATCCAGACAAACAGAAGAGGAATTCCACACACAAGGCCGGGATGGGAATCAAACCCACAAGCCCGCAAGGCCACAATGCTACCCACTAAGCTAGCACACTGGCCAAGGTAAAGAACAGAGGTGGATAGTTCAGATCCAGAAAGTAAAAATCCAAAGATTTTGACTTGAGACTGTGTGTCCTCAGAGAATCCTTGGGTACCGCTGGTTTGACTTTTTATCGAATGGGGACTCCCTGGGAAATTGCCAGTGAGGCACATTACCTGTATTGTAGTGGAGCATTATTTACGGCACTACAGCCATGGATTATGGAGCCATGGACATTTCAGATCCAGAAAGTAAAAATCCAAACCAGGATTTTGTTTCAACCAACCAGTTGAGTTTAAAGAGTCACAGTCACAGAGTACTCAACTGGTTGGTTGAAACAAAATCTTGGTTTGGATTTTTACTTTCTGGACCTGAAATGTTCACCTCTGTATAAAATAAAGTATGACACATGTGGTGTGCTATTAAGGATAAGCTCACCATTTCAGCATAGTCAGTGTTTCTATTTAAGTAAAACTAAATGTAAAAACACAATCCCAAGAACCAAAACAAGACTTCTTATAGTCTTCATCTTGAAAATTAACATTAAAGTGTTGTAGTTGTATATGTTTTTACTGCTTCAAATCTGCTTAACAGCTGCACTTGGCCGTTCATTGGAAGCTCAGCTTAGCTGCCTGACTGACTGCTTGACAGGTGCACATTTGTAATGTGCTATTATATATTATTATATGTTGGTCTGGATAAAGGTATCTGCTGAATAAAGAAATGTAAATTATAATATAAATGTATCAACATTATGTACCCCCCAGTGTCCCTAATATGTGATGTGATAAAGTCCCGTTATTCTCCATGTGAAGTGCACACTCACCAGGACAGGCAACACCAATGCCATATAACCTCCACAAAAGACAGCGAAGAAAACGGCGTAGACCATGAGCTGTGCGTAGTTGGTGGCCAGTGGCGAGAGCAGATTAATCAATCCACACAAGATCAGGTAGGTCTTATGGTAGTGGTACTTGTGCATCAGTTTCTTGTCAGCCAACCATCCAGAACCCAGCTGGGCCACAGTCTCTGTTATGCCTGAGGAAAGTCGAATGAGAGAAGAACAAGCACATCCTCACAAAACAGTCTTATTTGCTTCTGAAACACGGTTATTACGTTCATTACATTTTTTCTCCTTTAATGCAGGTCACTTTTAATGAAACTAATGACTGACTACAAAAAGATTTGTAATGTTAATACATGTTTATTTTCCTTTGAATTACTTTCATGAATGATAATGTGTAATTCCCAGTATCAAAAGAATTTGTCTCAGAAATGATATGACAAGCAATATCTTTGATAAATGCATACACATTTTCAGTTAAACATGTAAGGCAGCTGGCCATAAAGGACTCTGTGACCCTAGACTTCTTTGGTCCTGCACAGCACCTCACCCAGTGAGAAACCATCAACTGGGCTCCAGTGAGGCTGGACAAAGGCCACGGACCATCCTATTAGTAACCCCACCTCAAGCCCAACTGTGCGACAGGCATTCAGAGGGTCAGCCTTCGGCTGTCCATTTGGATTCCATTGATTGGTCAGTGCTCAAACATACAGACAACTTAACTGCCATTCAAACATTCTGTAATTCAAAATAAGAACTGGAAAAGGGTACTAGCTGGGTCAGTTCTGTCTGCTTTCAGAGGCAGGCTAAATGACCCATCTGGATGAATATTTGTTCTATTAATGTTACAGTGAAGTTTAATTGAAAAACAATAGGCCAGGTTCTTAACTCAAAGTGTTAGTTATTATAATTTCCACTAGGCCTGGGACAAATCCTGTGTGGCTACTCTGTTACTGTAGATATTGTGGCTGCAGCACTTATTTCACACATGCACCAGCTTCCTTTAAATCAGAGCTAGGTAAGATTTTAACAACTCTGAGCTATTAGTTAAGTTCTCCCCAGATGAGCTTGATGGGCTGAATGGCCTCCTCTCGTTTGTAAATTTCATATGTTCTTAAGTTAACTGAAGTAGAAACTTCCCCAGAGGCAGCGCATCTTTCTCCCATGACTCACGTGTTTTACCGGAACAGTAGTACAGTATGTGGGGTGCCCCATTAACTCAATAAATCTCGCTTTGCGTTCGTTGTGCATAGGTTGTCCATCCTTAAAACAGTAATTGGCGGCAGGCCAGGTTATTTTAGTCAGCTTCGACAAAAACCCCGCAACTCGCCTTCTTCCTAGAATTTCTGAATTCTCTGTAGATTAATACTGGGTGGATTTCTTATATTCTACTGTGAACTTTCATTTTGGATTTTGCTGGATTACCCTTATTGGACAGGTTGCTTTGGACTTACTCATTCTCCTGGTTAGTTGTCTTGTTGTTTGGGTTGTATTGTCTTGCCTGTGTTATTGACAGTCTGCCTGGCCTATTCTTTTATGTGTTCAGCAAATCCCCCTTGTGTTTTTATGGCTGCGTCTGCGCTTGTGCTCCTTTGCCGGTCCTGACAAGCCACCAGAGAGGAAGTGATGTAATTAAATTGGATCTTAAATTATGTCAAACTTTTATCAAGCATCTGTCATATTGACACTGAGGAAAATTATATTGCTGTAATTATCGTTATCGTTTTATCCCCCAGATCTATCTGGCAGTTTAAAACTTACTTAAAACTTTCTTTTCTCAGGCTTGCATTCATAGAACATTCATGAGCATTATGTAAGTACAATGGTACATTGGGACACAAACTTAAATCGTTCCCGAAGGCTGGTCGAGTTGAGATTTGGTCAAGGTCCAAGTCAAATTTCCCCATCAGAAATAATATAAATGAATTTAATCCGTTCCAGACCCCCAAATGATTGACTATTTAAACTTATCTAACTGAGGAAAAGCATTAATAAACAATGTAAAACTAACACACAGATGGAAAAGCACACATACAAAAGCAATAATCGTGAAGTAATGTGCTATTTACCTCACTTGTATGTTGCTTTGGCTAAACGTGAAATACTCTGAAGCGAGAGCAGACACACATGCCCCAGCTTCAAGTCTAACTATAATCTTCTTTTTAAGTTTGACAGGTACTCAACCACATTCCTCTTTGGTTTGCTACTATCACTGCTCACTTTCTTAGGGGCCATGATTACTGTAGCACAAAAAGAAAAAATGAATCGTCTTAGAGTGGATTCATACAGTAGGCATAAGCATCCCAGTAGGTCCGATCTGACGCATCTTGATCTGTAGCAGGAACGGCTGAGTTCCAAGATTTCAGTTGAGAAAAAAATTCAACAGACCCATTCGATATCTGAGTTGGTTAAGAGGTATTCGAGTTCCAAGGTTCAACTGTATACCTTAACAGCCTAACATACATTTCATTGACAAAAATCCTGGAACACCTGGAACTATTATGACATTCCATTATAAATCCATAGGCATCAATATGGCATCTGCTAAACCCAGACTCGTCTATCAGACTGCCAGACAGGGAAACGTGATTGGTCACTCCACAGAACACATTTCCACTGCTCCAGAGTCCAGTGGTGGCATGCTTTACAACACTCCATCCGATGCTTAGCATTGTGCTTCGTGATGTGAGGTTTGCTTGCAGCTGCCCATTCCATGAACCTTCCAGTGCACAGTTTTTGTGCTGGAGTTAATGCCAGAGGAAGTTTGGAACTCTGCAGTTATTGAGTCAACAGAGTGTTGGCAACTTTTATGTACTATGTGCCTCAGCACTCGACGACCCCACTCTGTTAGTTGACATGGTCTGGCACTTTGTGGCTGAGGTTCTGTTGTTTCTTAATATCTCCACGATGTAATAATACCACTTACAGTTGACCGTGGAATATCTAGCAGGGAAGAAATTTCACGAACTGTCTTACTGCAAAGGTGGCATCCTGTGATAGTACCATGCTTGAATTCACTGAGCTCTTCAGAACAATTTATTCTTTCACAAATGTTTGTAAACCTGACTGCATGGCTAGGTGCTTGATTTCATATACCTGTGGCAATGGGTCTGAATGAAACACCTGAATTCAAAGATTAAGAAATGTGTCCCAACACTTTTGTCCATATAGTGTGGCTCTGAGGCAAACACAAGGTGCACACACCCTTAATGTGTTTGAATTAGTCAATAAACAAGAGTTCAAAAAACACTAATAACTAAAGCTAAACTGACCACTGGAGCCAATCCCCACTCAATGCCTTAAAGAATCCCTGGGAGTTATGGTGAGACTTATAACTGCCATAATGCATGCCTTCAAGCGATGTGCCTGACCAATTTAAAGTAACAGTCATCAGACCACTACTGAAGAAACCAAGTTTGGATCCACAGGAGCGCAACATTTATAGACGAGTCTCTAACGTACCATTTTTGTCAAAAGTTCTGAAGAAGATAGTCACTGCTCGATCTAAGTCATACTTGGAGACACACAACATACTGGATAGCTCGCAATCACGGTCAATCAGGGACAAAGCACTGAAACTGCCCTAACTGAAGTCATAAATGACATAACAATGGCAACTGATTGTAACTATATAAGTACTTATGCTTCTGGACCATAATGCGGCCTTTGACACAGCTGACTGTTCTACTATATTACATAGACTTGAATTTTATGTTGGGTTGAAGTGTTTTATGTCGTATTTAAATCCTATTTATCAGCAATATCAATATGTACAAGTGTCTAATAACTGTACTTCATTGTCAACGTCACCTATCAAATATGGAGTACCGCAGGGATCAGTTCTTGCTTCAATCTATATCTACATGCAGCCATTAGGTGACATAATAAGAAGGCATAATGTTATTTATCACTCCTGTGCCGACAACACCAAATATACCTCATATATTGTGACTTTAGCTAATTGCTTTAATGAACGTTTTGTCATTAAATGCAAGGAAAACTGAGGTTCTGTTGTTTGGAGGCAAGTGCACAGATAGGAGTGCTACAATCTCCACATTCCACTCCAAGGGGCTGAACTTTTTGTTATAAATTATATAACTAAAGGCTGATTTATACTTCTGTGTAGAATCTATACTTTCAATAGCTGCGTACATTAGACCAAAACCAGATGCCTTGAGTTACATTTCTGGGAGGTGTGCATCAGGTTATGGTGTAGGGCAGTGGTTCTCAACCTTTTTTGCACAGCGACCCAATTTTTACCATGCTTTTTCAGTCACGACCCTATATCAGTTTTGCATGTCTTTTCATTTCCTACATACTGATACATTTTATCTATGAAATAAAGCATCTAATTATGAGTACATAAGTTCATTATGGGGCATTTTTTTATTTAAAGCCTGATTTTAAATTTAAACGACAGATAGAAATGACTGTCACATCATTCCAAAAGCAGCCCTATAAGTGTAAAAATACTGTAGTAAGGTGCAGCACCGGGTTACAGCTATTTTTAGATTGTAATGAAAGAGTTTGAAGATCCAATTGCAGAGCAAGTAGGTTTAATATTTCACAATGCGGAATGACAAGCACAAATCATAATCGAGGAATAAGGGTCAAACACAAGCCAGGTTCAGAAACCAATCCTGGCCAATAGGAGCACAGAATCAAAATCACCTTCAGCAAACAGGGTCAGAAAACAGGCAAGAGTTCAGAAACCAATAGAAGTTAATCAGAAGCACAGTGAGTCTATGGTTCAGCAACTCAATCACTCAAAAAGGCTGACTGGAATTCAGGTCATACAGGACATGTATCTTTGTAGGTTAAACTTTTAGAAGTTGGGCCAAATCATTCTGGTCAGAAAAATCAGTCAGAGCATCTGTGAAACAGCAAGGCCTGTGAGGTGCTCATAGTCAGCCATGGTGAGTTCCTGCTGAAAGTTATCCAAAGAGGGAAAAACCACGAACCACCGACAGGGTACTGGGCGACCCAGACTGGTTAATGCGGAATGTTAATGTAGGCTTCTGCATGTGGTACAAACCAAGAGAAGGGAACAAATAGCAGATATATTTTAATTATGGTCACGGGAATAATGTGTCATGACCCAGTGCATGGAGCCCTGCTGTGTATTGGGCTACATAGCCGTACGTCAGACTTGTCGTTCCAGAGCATGCCACAGATGCTCAATACATAACCGACCGTCCACATGATGCAGCAAAAAATGGGACCCAGGTGACCTTCTTCTGTTACTTCATGGTCCAGTTTCAAAGCTTTTGTCCCCCTTGCAGGCACTTTCGTTGGGGAACAGGAGTCAGCATGAGCACTGTCACTGGCCTGCAGCTACGTAGCCCCATACGCAAACAGGCTGGATGCACTGCGTGTTACATTACTCCAGTGAAGATTATCTGCCATTTGGGCAGTTTATGAACCTTGCTTGTGCACAGAGGCACAGTCATGCTGGACCAGCAAAGGACCATCCTCAAACTGCTGCCACAAAGCTGGAAGCACACAATTGTCTAAAATATTTTTGTACGATGATGATGTCAATGAAAGGTGGACCTATACCAAGTATGTGTAGCAAAATGTCCAAAGTGAAAAAAGGAGGAAAATACAGCAGTGAGAAAAGTAATATCACAAACCCTATTTTAATCCACCAGACCATAATATGATGGACTGCTGCATGCTATTGGAGAATTTCACAAATAATCCCAAGCAAAAGGTCAAACCATGCAGCATTCCCGGAGGATAAAGAATTCCTTTGTGTGGCATAGACAAAGTTCTGTGAATACTATTAGGAATCTTAGGGAAAAAATCCAGCATATAAGCAAATCTGACTATCCTACACTCTCAGAAAAAGGTCACCAATTTGTACCTTTGCTTGTCATTGGGGCTGTACCCTCAAAGGTTTGTACAGTTGTACCCTTAACTGTAGCTAATTTTGTTAACTTTTTAAGGTACAGAAATGGACTATGAGGAACATTTTTGTACCACCAGGGGTACATTAATGTTGTTTGTCCCATGAGGAAGTCCATTTCTGTACCCCCACACTAATTTTATAACCCCTGTACAGAAGAAGGCTTCTAGCCAATTTCAGACAGGTCCTTAGAAAAATCTATGATAAAACAAGATTTTTAAAAAACTTACTGTTAACCTACATCCCAATAAGAATGGCATAATCATAAGGTACCACTCAGTCAGCCAGCACACCTACTCTATGCAAAATCACTTTAGCATGGCGGATCCAAAGCAGTCAGCTCATGGTCAACTTTTTGATGCTAATCTAAATTACATGGCAAATCAAACACAATTGTGTACACTTTTTAAATATCTGTAACATTTCACAGTTCAAATGGCTTATACTGTACTTCCTGTACTATACACACACCTGTAATAGAAACTGTATCATATCACTTTTGTCACATTACCAATACTTACCAGCAACAGAGATGATAAAGGATGCATCCATTGGGTCAATCCCAAGGTTTCTTGCCCGAGCCGACAAGTGAAAGTATGGAATAAAATAAGCCAACTGGCTAAAGACTACTGACCACGTATAGATGCAAAAGAAAGGATTTTTCAAGAGGGAGAAATCCAACACTTTTATCTTTTTCATGAACTCTTTGCTGCCATTATTGCATTGCAATGCATTTTCCATAGCTGGTGGCTTTCCATTTTGTTCCAGGTAGACGTCCTCTGATCTGGAAAAGGAGACAGCTGTAGCACCAGTATTGTGTGTGACCAGCTTTGCTTGCTCTGATGTGAGCAGGGCATTTGGGTCAGACGGTGGCTTTTCAAAGGCCTGTGATGAAGAGGCTGATGTGACAAAGCCATTTGTTTTCATGTCATCATGGTTCCTGCATGAGCTGGGAGAAGAGTGTGGCCTCACAACTGCAGGCCTCAGTAGCATCCCAGAGGCTACAAGGTGTAGCATGAGACCTCCCAAAATCAACAAAGCACCTAGAAGAGAAGAACACAGTCTTCTCTATCCATTTATTGTTGCAAATTCCTTTAGTTTTATAGACAAAAAGCAAGTGTTTCAGTTGTCCAAGCTAACCACTTATTATACACCTTTCAGGACTGAAACATTTGAGTATAGTCTGTTAAGCTGTTGGAATACCTAAACCATTCATTACATTTTAAGAATGGCCTCAGCAACAAGGAACCACCTACATAGAGCAAAGGCACAGGAATCTGTATAATAAAATTAAAATTGCACATATTACTTTATTTACAGTGATACTGATCTCTCTTTTGCTCTAAATATCAATATGCAGTCAGTACTGTGGGCTGTGAACCAAAAAATTCAAAATTTGAATTTTAGTTATATTACCAACACTCTAATATTTTAAGCACCATAATTTAACAATAATTAAAACATTTAAATCATAAAGTTTCTGCATGGATTCACATCTGCATGGATCCACATCCACAGACAGAATATAATTGTAGTTCCCCTAGATAAATAAATAGATATGCAATCAGACAGACAGACACACATACACACACACAGACCGTCAGTCAGTCAGACAGACCCCAAGGAGATAACATTAAAACAGAAAAAATAAAAGGATGAATAACAATAAGGTTTCTACACACACACACACACTCACAAACATTTGTAATTATATCTTTGTGGGGACTCTCCATTCATTTCTATGGGGAAAACTCTAATCACAACATGACAACCTTAACCCCTACCCAACCCTAACCTTATCTATAAGCAACCAAACAAAATACGAGACTTTTGGCAGTTTTACTTTTTTGATTGCATTCACAGATCTTTGTGGGGACCCAAAAAATGGTCCCCACAACATAAAAAAAAATAGTTTTTATTATATGTCTTGTAAACCTAAGCCATACACACACACACACACACACACAGAAATAGAATACAATTTGCATACCTCTCCAGGCATACTGGTCAAGAAGGAGCTGAGAAAAGGGAGCTAGAGCAAAGGTCAAGCCCATCCCAGAGCGGCCAATGGAGTACGCCGTCGCCAGCCTCTTCCTGAAATAGATGGCTGTGACCACAGAGGTGGCTTGGTAAAGAAGTGCAAAGCCAAGACCTGAAAAACACAGTGTGGTGGCAACAAATCAGCAATGTTCACGTTTTAAAACTTTTTAGATTGATATTCTAATTAGTTTGAAACTCTTCCCCTGACCCTGACTCTAACCCTGGACTTGCTTATTGCAGATTGCATTTCTCTTAGTAAAACTGAGCTGTCAATTAATTGTTTGTAGTATTTTGTCACGCTTAACCTGAAGTAGATAGTTCAGGTCCAGGAAATAAAAATCCAGACCAAGATTTTGTTTCAACCAACCAGTTGAGTATTCCATGGCTGTGACTCTATAAAACTCAACTGGTTGGTTGAAACAAAATCTTGGTCTTAATTTTTACTTTCTGGACCTTTCTGGACTTTCCACCTCTGTGCTTAACAAATTGTATTCTGCTAAACATGAATGAATAAACTACAAAGGTTAACTAAAAGTTATAAAAATGTTTGTTCATATAAATGAATAATGCAGATGCCCAACAGAATAGGTTTGGTTTTGACATCAGTAAGGTCAAAACAACCTTGAACACCCCCCCCCACCACACACACACACACATAGTCCTCCCACAATATTGGTAGGGACATGCATCCTCACTATGCATACCCAAATCCTCGCAAGTTTTTTTAATCCTTAGACAATTAAATACAAATTGACAGCTGTACATTGTACATTTAGAATTAAAACCAGCATACTTGGTACGCTGAAGCTGTAAACCTGAGTGTAGAAATAATTCCCTGTAGTTCAGTTTTCATTTTGGTGATAAAGCTACTAATAAGGATCAAATAAAACCAATTTTAATTCTCACATGAGCAGAAGAGTAAGGAAGAGCTTGACAAGTACATAATTAATTCTTACTCATGCTAAAAGCATTTTTACTTATATTTAATGCATTCTCTTGAAAAAAAATCTGATTTAAAGGAAGACCACTGCTGGCCCGATTGCTCACCTACAACCAGTCCCAAACTGACATACAAGAAGACCACACTTGTGGCCAGGATGCTCACAAGAAAGCCGGTGGTGACCAGCACTGCTCCTGCAATCGAGGTGATTCGGTTTCCGAACTTAGCACAAGCCACTGAAGCCAGGGGACCTAGAGAAGAGTGAAGGGTGACTGTGGGCTCCATTGCATCACTTCTGCGGCATTTCTTTGACAGACAGCTCGGGCTGACCTCCAGAGAGACGCAGGCTGGACATGATGGAGCCGATCCAGCTGATGCTTTCTGAAGATGCCCCAAAATCGTCCTGGAATGCCACAAAGAAAATTCCAAAGCTTTTCAGGGTTCCCATCACCAGTACATTCACCTGTCATTGAACAAAAACACAACAGAACCCACCATTAGAGGTCAATAAAAAGGCCATTTTCATGTGTAGGATAGCAAGACAAGTGACCATGAGTACAAACATTCCTTAACTGACAAAAATCTGACATTTCAAAACACACTTTAAGTCAACCTGTAGCTGTCATGTACAAGCGTAGCAAGAACAGGACTTCAGGAATCGGATGAGCTCAGGATTTTAATTGGGAAAGGACAACACATACAACCACACAACGTTAATGACCGGACTGGGGAAACATACAGTTATTTGCAGAATGATCAAAGATAAGGTTCACACATTGGATGGCAGCACAACAAACCATTTTCACCACCTCAAAAGAAAACACCCGAAAAAATATGCTGAGTATGTTTTCTTTTAGGTTTTATTTCCTTATAGGCCTATATATATATATATATATATTGGGGGGTTTTTTTAATAGAGGAATTTGTTTGGTTGTACTGTTAAGTAACTTACAAATTAGTCTGAAAAACATACATGTAAAAGAAAAAGTGATAAGATCAAGGATTGTGATCCTGCTACCATATTATTGTAGCTGTGTTTGTGCTGAAAACAAAAATCATTATGTTTTGTGCTGTTGATATACACAGAAAAGTCAGAGCATCTCCAAACTGTTTCAGAAGGCCTTAGACCGCAGAGGGTTATATACTAGTTGCCAAGTTAACGGGATAGTCCAACATTCTGCTGCATTAACATCAGGTTTGTAAAATCACCTCAGCTCAGCCCAAACAAACACATTTTTTTCACATGATGTTCATTTCTTTACTAATTTTTCAGCTATTTATTTAACATAAAACTTCCCAACTACCAAAGAGAATTGTTTTAAAAAAATACTGCAGGCTAGAATACGTGCCGGTCTCAAACATGGATTGTGGAAAATGTTCACAAATGTGGCTTCATTACACTAGACAAGAAAAGGATAAGGCAGAGTGCAATAATAGAGTGCATGAATTAATATCTGAAGGAGTGTACAATGTTTTATGCCTTGTGGTCTCCAAGCCTGAATAAACCATCTTCAGCCAATGATGGAAGTAGCGCCTCACAAACAAGGGACAACCAGCCGTGACACACCATTATCATTGATATTAAAGGGAAATATGATCAAAGAAAAGACTGAGGAGTTTCCCAAAGCAGTAACCACATGGTTTGGTTTGGTTGCAAGCAGGTGTTGTGCACTGCACTGAACGCACTTCAGTTAGCATTTTCGACCCATTGCTCCTGGGACTTTCTGAATATTCAGAATAAATATATTTTTGTTATCTAAACATTTGTCCTTTTATTCACCTCAATGGAACTGAAATGGGGAATCGATAAGAACCGGAATCAATGGAATTCAAACAATACCCAACCCTGTGTCTTGAGCAGATTGTTGCCAAGAGAAACCTGTTTAGTTCAAGCTGATATATTTATGAAATCTTGTGTTTGGAACTTTCTCTGTCTTTTTCTTGGGTTTCTGCATAATTAATCTTTGGAATAATCTTAATTCTCACTGCCTATATTTTCCTCCCTGTACTTGAGTCTGATCCAAAATTCCTGCTTAAAGAGACAGTGCCAGTTGGGCAGCAAGTATGAGTGGAACGGATCTAGAAGGATCAGGCCTTGCAGTGGATTTTGGCTTTAGGAAAATGGAACACTATCAGTGATGTGTGGAATATTGTAAGGTACCAGCTATATAGAACTGGCCTTTTTATCCACGTACAAGGTGGGCTCTGGAACTAAGCCCACACCATATAACTTTAGAATTAAGCATGGTGAAAGACCTAAGATGTGTATGGGGATTCCCACCAACCCCAGCCTATAGGCTGTGAAGCTGGAGTCCTTCATGATGGACAAGAGGCTGCATCTATGCAGCTGTGAGTGGACGCTGATCACTGGCCATACCTCCTTCTGAGTATGGGCTCTTGGGCATAACTAAGCCTGGCCAATTATTTCCCCACCACTTCAGAACCTAAAAACATGACATAATTATATGGGCCAAGCTACCCTTACTGCGTTTTTGAATGGATAATAAAATGTTGTTTGCACTGCAAGGCTATGAAAGGCCATGTATTAGAGGAGCACTATTGTTGTAGAACAAACAGCACTAAATATTGCTAAATGCTAAATAACTAAACTGGGTAGGAAACAGGGATAATCCATGTGTTAAAGGCTGTATTCTTTTTGTATTAAAATCAACTTGAGCAAACACAGGAAGACCAAGCAGCCAGTGCCGGGACCCTGAAGGCGTGAAGGCCATAATGTCACCCACTGGGCCACAGCACCACTCCTTACACTACATGCAGTCATATAATAATATACAATATGAAATGATATAGATCCGTATTCAAAACATTCAAAAGAAAATGTGCACCCTGGACATTTTAGACATTAAAGCTGCTTTTACAATGACCAGTGGGTGAATGCTAAAACATTTTGTGAAGGTAATTTAATATCTATTGTAAACAGACATACAGCTGGCACTTATTGTATGCATATACATACATTATCCATACAAAATGTCAATTTCGGTATCAATAGTAATAGTAATAATATTGTTACAGAGTGTTTTACCATAGTTATGAAAATGTTTGCATTTAAATAACTAAGAATTGGTGACTTAAGAATTTCTCTGAAAAAATATATACAGTACACTATATACATGGACAAAAGTATTGTGACACACCTCTCATACACTGATTTCAGGTGTTTCATTTAGACCCATTGCCACAGGTGCATAAAATCAAGCACCTAGCCATGCAGTCAGGCTTACAAACATCTGTGAAAGAATGGGTCATTCTGAAGTGAATTCAAGCCTGGTGCTGTCATAGGATGCCACCTTTGCAATAAGCTAGTCAGTTGATGCAATTTCTTCTCTGCTAGATATTCCATGGTCAACTGTATTATAGCATGGCATTATTGCAAATTGGAAGTGTTTAGGAACAACAGAGACTCAGCCAAGTAGTTGCAGATCACATAAAGTAACAGAGTGGGGTTGCCAAGTGCTAAGGTGCATAGTGTGGCCAACCTTCTGTTGACTCAATAACTGCAGAATTCCAAACTTCCTCTGGCATTAACCCCAACAGAAAAACTCTGCGCTGGGAGCTTCATGGAATGGGCTTCCATGGCCAAGCAGCTGCATGCAAGCCTCAGAACACCAAGCACAATGCCAAACATCGGATGGAACGGTAAAGCATACTACCACTAGACTCCAGAGCAGTGGAAATGTGTTCCCACTGGTTTGGTGGAGGAGGGTTAATGGCGTGGGGTAGTATTACAGAGGTTGGGCAAGGCCCCTTAGTGCCAGTGAAAGGAACTATTTAATGTTTCAGCATACCAGGACACTTTGGACAATTCTATGCTTCCAACTTTGTGGGAATAATTTGGGGAAGGCCCTTTTCTGTTTCAGCATGAATGTATCCCAGTGCGCAAAGCAAGGTCCTTAAAGACACGGTTAGGTGAGTTTTTTGTGGAAGAACATGACTGGCCCAAACAAAGCCCTGACCTCAACCCAATCAAACACCTTTGGGATGAACCAGAACAGAAATTGCGAGCCAGGGCTTCACATCCAACATCAATGCCTGATCTGATTCCCACAGACACCCTCCATTAACTTGTGTAAAGCCTTCCCAGAAGAGTGGCAACTGTTATAGCTGCAATGGGGGTACCAACTCCATATTGATGTCTATGGATTTAGAGTGGAATGTCACAAAATTTCCTGTAGGTCTAATGGCCAGGTGTCCCAATACTTTTGTCCATATAGTGTATAATAAAAAACATGTATACATAGTGTATTATAGACAGGAATGCACATAACTGTCACACAAGTATGCATTTGCTGCATAAAGCAATACATGTGGCAGTTTGTTTCCATGATATTGTAAATGTGAACTTATTTTATGTGCATTTGCATTGTTATGACAAGATACTTCTACGTATATTAACCTTTATATGGCTGATGCATACTTCATTCACAGTTTAAAGGTTAAAATCCATGGTAATTTCCTGTCACAAAAGTGCAAATGCACATAAAATTAGTATGCACTTGTGCTGTACTGAAAGGAAATTTCTGCCTGTATCGCTTCGTATACAGTGAATGCATACTTGCGTACCAGTTATGTGCATCGCTGATTATAGAGCCATAGGCATTGGAATGGAAGAGTGAGCTCCATCAGAATAACTAGAGTACTGATAAATGAGAGATGGGAGGCATTAAATGTCAGGACAGCCTTTATAACCGGACCACAAGCCAGGGGGACAATGCAGACCAAGAGGGCAGCAGTTTGGTTTTATGAAGGGGGTTTTGAGGTTTCAAGTCAGCCAATTATTTGCTTTTCAGCCAGCTTGACAGCCATAGACAAGAAGGGGAGCTGATGGCACCTCAGCCGATTTCAGGCAGCGTCCAGGACACTGTAGCTGAATTTCTGCAGCGCTGCTTCATTTCATCAGCTGGACAAACCTCTTCAGGAAACACATGCACTGCGAGACAGTGGACTGGCAAGCTGGGGGAGCTAATTTTCTGTAAGAAAATGCAATGTCTTCTGCTGTTGCTGCTCACAGGTGAGACAGACCTACTGTTGCCCCTCCAATGTAATGATTAATTGTTCCAGGATGTGGCCCAATGGCAAAATGTTCACATCTCTAAGTACCGTCCTGGGTTTTGGCACCACTTTTGGGAACTTTAGCAGCTTACGAAATAGACGGTGATAGGCCAGAGTTCATTATATAGTCTCCCCTTTCAAGAACAACAAGAAAGGAAGGGAGGGGGGCACATGGGGAAGACTTGCTGGTTTACACAACAAAAGAAACTGGCAAGTGGCTGGGAAGAAAAACAAAGGCTTCCTTGCTGCTCCAATAAACCGCAACATGTTTTTGGACTGTAAGGGAAAACCAGAGTACCCAGAGGATCCCCATAACAACATGGGTAGAACATGCAAACACCTCAAACATGGAGCCTCAAACCCTGGTTCCAGAGGTTTGAGGCAGCAGTGCTAACAACTGCACCACTGTGCCGCCCAGGGTTGCATTTCCTGTACAATGACAAATGTTCATTGAACTAACATGGTATGATGCATCGTTAAACCAACTAATACCCAAAGTACAATTGTTTCCAAAAACCATCATACTTAGTTAGTACCACAGTAGTTTGATCCATAATGGCTGGAACCACCGTAGTTCGAACCACAATGGTACCAGAGATATCAGGTCTGATTTTCACAGGAGGAAGCATGCAATAACTTGCAAACTTTGTAATATTATTAATATACCTGACAGTTAATAAATAATAATAATAATAATCATTTGAAAAATATCAGTAGAATCATAATACAGTGCTACCTCAGAACTCAAACTCAATCTGTTCAGAACTCGGGTTTGAATCCTAAAAAGTTTGAGTTCTGATTGAATTTTCCCCACAAGAAATTATGGAAAACCAATTAATTGGTTTCTGGCCCTAATAAATTACACCTAAATATGTTTTAAAAAAAAAAAATTCTTAATGGCTTCCAAAACAACAAAGAATGTACAGTAACCCAATACTACCCCTGTCCTGCCCCGATCTTCCTGCTCCTTCCGTGTGCCACGCCCCCACGTTAACCTCGTGTGGAATCCCCGTGTGATCAGCTGTTTCTGTTTTTTGTCATTAGTCCTCTGTGTTTAATTTTATTTTATTTTAATCACACTATAATCGCTTGTTCTTTGGACTACGATTTGGTTTTCCCCATTATAGGATTCTGGTGAACTTCCCCGAGTGTCCTGGTGTGATTGTAACAGTATGATTGGATTTGATTATCTGTGGTGGTTTTCATGGAGTATTGTTGGGAGTATTAGCATAATATAAGTTATATGATCAATCACAGTATGAATAAACGTCCCCCACCTTATGAAAGCAGTCCTGGTCATTTTTAGTTTATGTCATCCTGTATCAATGGCAGTGCTAGCTATTTAATAAAGCCCAGAGCTGTCTCAGATTCTACACCAGTTTTGGCCAACTGTGGTTTTTGGGGCCCCATCAGTTGTCTAGGGGGATCTTAAGGGATTGTGATACCTTAATCCGCCCTGACTGTGTTATTGTGTTATGAGTAATCTCAGAGCAGCCGTTTATGTGCAAAACTCTTGTATCTGCTCTGATCTACCTGGTACTGTAGTACTTTCTTGTCTATTGACATGTCTGGTACATTTTAGTCCAGTACTTTTTATTATGTACCTTGCCTTGTAAAGCAATTTGTTGTGTCTGGAATTTTGAGCTCAATTAGTAATTGATTGCCTAATACTAGTACATTTTATCCAGGACTTTAATTACATTCTTGTAGGCTTCGTCATGTCAGTTGTTTCAAGTGCTATGCCCAAGCTCTTTCTTTTCTTGAACCTCAAAAGTAAACATTGTATTTTGTGTAATTACTACATTTTGTATAAAATGAAATCATGACAAAGCAAATGGATGGTCCTCCTCTCTCAGCTATATTTTTAAGGCAGAGACAAAATCGTATCAAATGTGAAACAGCTGCAATAATGCAATACACAATGCAGGATGTGACAAAATGTAAACACGGTTTATTAAAATCTTGGTAAACTAAAACTACATAGCACACTATTTTAATAAAAATGTTCAAAAAGCAGACACTTTAGTTACATCATTATATTTGCAGAAAAGTAGCCTACACAAGAATTGAGGCAGTAATACAAAGCACAATGTAATAAAGTCAAGTACTTACCAGAAAACAATGAAACACCACCACCCAACCCCAACCTCCGTCTGGAGGATCAGCAAAGCAAAGGTCCGTCTGTTCCTTCCTCTTACTGATGATATTGGTCTGTTCGTAAGAGGCCATCTTCACTGCTTTAACTTCACTAAGAAACACAAAGCTTACATTTTAAATTTCAGTTTAATGCAAGAGAAACTTGATTGAAATGAATACCTCCAACTCATTGTCAAATATAAATGCACAATGTATTTAAATCAAGTCCCTCAAAGAACATCTACTGAAAGGCAATTTTGGTGAAGACATGGGGTTTTGAATAACCTCTGTCCTTGAGTACATTCTTTTCTAAAGTCATATTCAGTTACTTTGTCAGACAGCCCTCATCAACCAAAACACAAACAAATTCAAAAGATAATTTTTATCTACCAAACTGTGACAGTACTCAGTTTTAAGCATTACATTAACCTAGGTCAGTGGTCATGAACTGGCGATTTTCCTGGTCGGCATTTTTTTCCAGAAGCAGTGGACCTTGACTTTGTTGGCTTGCTGATGGAATTTGGCCCTCAGTAAAATATAATTAGGGACCCCTGGCCTAGGTCATGTCACAGTTCCAGACGTAAAATGTAATTTATTAACACCCATAAGTTACATATACAAGTTATGTTTTGTCCTCAGAAAAAGGTCTTTACTTGGACTTACAGTTAACAGCTAACACAAATATGTTAAACAAATAATAAGGTCCGTTTCAATGGAATTATATTCCATGATTCATTCTCTCTGAAAAGACCACAGTAATTCAAACACTATCATTGTTATGAGTCCCTTATCATTCTTTGATGACTAGACAATGACACCAATTCAACTATCACTACTTGTTCTATGTGTATCACTATGTTTGTGACAAATAAACCTCTTGAATCTTAAATTGTTCCAAGCATTTGATCAGTTTCCTGATTTGGGAATTGAACAGATCTAGCCATTAGCATTGTACTTGTGTCATCACAGGATCAGTTCCTTTTGGTGGCACAACATTGTCTGAGTACATGTGCTGTCATGCCTTCTCAAACTGCAGACCCCCCACATGCCATCACCAACAATTAATTGCTCCTGATTACCAACAATTACTTTAACGCTCCAAATACAAATTTTATTACCTCCCTGGAACATTTTAACTTTATAAGACTTGACTGAGCCAAGTTATGCATTTTAGCATTTTTTTGTCTTGCCACTGTCATTTTAATATCGAAACTATAGAACTATTAAGGAAACACCAAAGGAAAAAATATATAAATCATTTTGAGATTAAAGGTTAAAAGTTTGGGATTAAAGTCAAAATAAACTTTCAAGAAAGAAATTGAAACTTTTTAGATTCAACTTTAAGTTTACAGATAGTATGAATAGTGTAGGTTTTAACAAATGCTTTGTCTCTTGGCCTAAAATCAAAACACCTCACTATGGATTTATTAAAACCTAAACCAAAATATAACTGGATAAGATCATTTAATGCAATACAAGGTTATGCAGGGTCTGTCTGGACTATCATACCAACCTATCATCCATCCATCCATCAATCCGTTTTCTATACCTGCTTGTCCAATGCAGGGTTGCAAGGGTCATGCAAGCTATGGGTGTAAGGCAGGGAATAACCCAGTGTGCACACCCCCCCCCCCCCCCACACACACACACACACACACACACCTGTAATCATATCTTTGTGGGGACCGCTCATCCATTTTAATGGGAAACATGCTAATGCTAACTATGACAACCTTAACCCCTACCAAACCCTAACTATAACCATAAATAACCAAACAAAATGCAAGAGTTTTTGCATTTTTAGTTTTTTGATTGCAGTCATTGATTTTTAGGAAACTGAGTTTTCCCTTATGGAGACCAGTTTCCTGGTCAAAAAAGGTAAAAAAATATATATAGTTACAGATAGAGCCCATTTCACTAAATACATTGTGATTAACTAACAGTTCTCATATTTTTTCCTCCACAGGGTTTGTATGAAAGAGCATTAGGATCACCTAAAAGGGAAAAAATATATAAAATATGAAATGTCTCAATTATAAAACATCTGCCAGAGACTTGTCAGGACCAGTCCCTGCTATGTCTGTCATTTCCCTGTTTGACCAGCAGGTGTTGCTGGTCATCCCATTCTTTTCAGTGCCTTTTTAGTTCCTAGTATCTTCCTTTGTCCCATGGCCACTGTGTGGTTGAATGGGCTGAGTGTGTGGCTGAGAACAGTGCTTCCCCTACCATTGTGAGTTCAAGGCTGAACCAGAAGCCAGCCTCAACTTTGTTAGACATTTTGAATTTTGTTTTTTCCCCTGCCAAGGTTATTATGTCCTTGTCTTTCAGTATTGGTCTTTGTTTTTGTATCCTTGTTGCTGGTTATCCATGCCTGTGTCTGGGTTTGTAGTACTGTTTTGTTTCACTGGTATTCCTAGAGGTTCTGTCCTTAGTGCTTGTTAATTACCCTCACCTATTCCTTGTTGCCCCTATAGTCTCTAGTGTTTGCATGTAATAAGTAATGACCCACACCTGTCCCTCATTTCACCCTTGTTATCTCCGTATTTAAATGCCTGCCCTTACTCTATTCCTTGGTTGGTCATTGTGTTCCTGAGTGTTTTCTGTAGGTGCTGCATTGTTTGGTTCTGTGTATTCCTTACCTGTGTTTCCTGAACCTAGAGATGGCAATTTCGAATCATCAAAACAATTTTGAAACATTAGAAACAAACAATGTTTCGAAATGGTTCGAAAAGTTTCAAAACACTAGTTGTGCACAGCCTGCTGGCAAAACCTGGAACTGCAGCTATAGCAAATACGGCAGAATAAAAACCTATTGCTGCAAGTTTCGAATGTCACGAAGCTCGAACTGTCAAAAATGTGCATAATACAATATAATTTCTTTTTGATTATTTTTATATTCTGTCATAGGTATCCTATATCTGCAATTAGCGTGTGATAACATTTTGCCAACCATAATTCAACTAATGTCTCTTGTGTATGGTCGCGAAACCTCTCTTGCACAGATATCAGAAGCAGAGAAGAGGATGTTAGCAATATTATGAACAAGTCTGCATGTCCACTTCAGTGGCCTCTATAATGGAGCATATTTAGCCACCGGCTCATTCCACCAAGCTGTGCTAAAAATGCTACTGGGGATTATCGCTGCCCGAAGCCGTCAGACAACTGGTGACCAACATCACACTTTCTCCAGACGTTACACTCCCCATCCATAGCCATAATACATCAGGAATCATCCTCTCTTATTATAATACAATCCGGTGCCTTGTGTTCTAACTGCACATAATTTATTTTCAGATGATTATTATTCTCATCTTTAAATATTCACGTTTAGTCTCACATTCTGCTCCTCAAGATTTCACATCCATTTGTGCACTATGTACCTTTTAAATCTGCTGCAGTATGTTTACTTTGCTTGCACCATGTGTACAGTCTTTGTACCTTGTCTGTTTGGCATTATCTGCATTATTTGCATGTTTGTATGCACCAGAATTTCCCCCAGTCAATACAGTCAATCAATTGGGTCTTATATCATATAGAAATTATTTGTTCCCATGGTTGGGTGTTGTTAAAACATCATTTCTGTATTTACATACCATCCGAATATTGAGTGTGCATAGTAATTAATTAGCTACTGAGGTCAGAATACTCATCCTATCTAGGTTTGTGTATGTTCAGCAGGTTATAGGAATTGTTTAGTTTTAATTAATTTGTATAGAATAGAACAGTGCAAAAATGCAGTTTCAGACAACAGTCTTTGTCTATGTTAGCAATTTATGTGTCTATGCATACTCTAGCTTTTCGATTTATGTTTCTAACTTATTCTAAGCAAAACCTTGACATTACACCTACTATAACGATATGTCCCTCACTACACTTATGCCTAAATCACACTAACTGCTAACCTGTTTCACTAATACAATTGGATTTCAAATAATAATAATCGCCTGACTACTCAATCAAACCAACAACGCCACAAACACCCAACAAGCACCGATTTTTCCAGGGTTTTTTATAGGTTTTTTTCTCTCGCCGTGAACAATGACACAGTGGTCACGTGACTGATGTTTCGAAGCATTTAGTAAACTCTGTATCGAGACCAGAAGTTTCGGACGTCTTCGGAACGGATCGATCCTGGGTGCCGAAATTGCCATCTCCACCTGAACCTGTGTTTTTCATTCCTTGTGTTCAGTTATAGCCTGTTTAGTTCTAATTTTATCTCCTGACTTAGTTTCGATCTCTCATGGTCCATTTTGTTGTTCTTAGTTTGTCCGTTCCATTGTGTCACTTCTAGTAAGTCTATCACTGCAGCTGAAGGTGTTACATCTTCACAGGCCTCTGCAGTGGAAAACTGCAGGAGCAGATGAAATACACCCAGAGAAGTTGAAAGCACATCTTGTTGTGAAGGAAATGTGGTCGCTGTGCTTCTTCAGTTTTGCATGGAAGGCAGGTAAGGTACCTTTGGACTGCCAAACAGGAGTAGTAGCCTGTAATTTTGAAATGCAAGACAGGACTGAGTGTCCTACTGTAGAGGGCTCACAATTCTCAGCCTCCCTGGGAAAGCCTATGAAACAGTACTGCAAAGTATTAAAGAAAAAAATTCTAATAGCTGAACCCATGATTCAAGAAGAACAATGTGGATTCTGGCCTGGTCGTGAAATCAGTGGGCCAGTTGTGTGAGATTTTGTGGAAAAATGCAATGATAGTGGAGGGTCTGTCGGAGTATGAGGTGCTGGTATACTGTGTTTAATCAATCCCTCTATTCACGTAGCAAGAGCTATTTATTAATACTTAGCAGAAAATCTAATAGACAGGGATTTGCGTGCCTTTTTTCCATTCCTGTTTGAGATTTTCATGGATTGGATATCAAGGCACAACCATAGCTGGAGCAGTTTCTGGTATGTAGGACTAGAGGTGACATCCCTGCTATTTGCAGATGATGTGCTTCTAATCTTACCCAGCTATGCACTGGAGCAAGTGCTGAGCGGGAAATAGCAAGGATCAGAATCAGAACCTCCGTATCCAATACTATGATGCAATATCCTGTTATTGTTTCTTTGGCCTGATTTCACAACACTCCCCCCTGTCACAGGTACACAAAGTGCAATTAATCAGAATTCAATAGAGTGGAGTCCAGTGGCTGTATCTTTAAGATAACAGGTGAAGCAGAGCTTCACCAAAGAAAAAAAAAATGTAACATTCATATCACATAAAATGTAATTTTAATGGCAGTGTATAACCACAATGATCATTTCCATGTGAAACTAAAGACGTTCAGCTGTTCAAAAAATGTCTGATTATGTATCAT